GCTGCACCTAGGGATTGGGCCAGCCTTCTGCCACCCGGGAGCAGGCCTAAGCCAGCAGGTCGTTATCTCCCGAGGGGTCCCAGACAGCGAGAGGGCACAGGCCGGTCTGAGGGACACCCCCTTCCCCCGAGTGCACAAATTTTTGTGCACCGGGCCTCTAGTTATAAATAATAAACTAAATTTGGTTGATTCTGAGTTTTTTTCAAAATTTGAATAATAAAAATGTTCACAAAATCAATGTTTAAAGGACTCATAGAATAGGGAATGGCTAGTAAATAAACATGTATTTTGTAGAGAAGCCACTAGATAATGTCTACAATATAGGATCATAGCCCCTATGAATGTGTATGATTAAGTCTTTTATATTTTCACTGTACAATCTGAATTTATTTAAACAATGCTACTATTAAATGTGGATAATATTACCTTACCATATAAAAATGTGTCTTTTATCTCAGACATTTCAGGATAACCCAACATGTGTTTATTTGGTTTTTAATAACGTGTAATGAGAAATAATGCTGAAAGAATGGAGGAGGGGAATGAGAAAGTACTGTAATATAAGCGTGACTTTCATATGGAATCATTCAACACAAGGAGTAATTTAAAAAGTTTAAATACATTAGAGGCTCTTTAAAATGTTCTTGTTCAATTATAAGACAAACTCTTATTTTATGGGTTATCTTCTATTAACTGTTACTATATAGAGAGATAATGTTTGAGCTTTAAGACTTAACCCCTGGTGTAAACAAATCCAGGTAACATCAAGCTCTTGATTATTAGTTTTATACTGTGTTCAAACCTATGTTTCTATTTAAATTTGTTATAATGGCCACTCTTGCATCAACGAATGTGTTATATACCGTGAAACTTGTTTAGGTTATATATTTATTCATTTCATTACTATGCTTTTTTATGGGGTAAAACAATGGCATATAAATTTGTCATGATAATAAGGTAGTACAGTACAATAGCTATGATCATGGATTTATCTGACCTCCGCCACTTATTAAGCATGTTGCTTTGAGCAAATTACTTAAACTTTTAAGGTCTCAATTTCATCAACTATAAAATGGGCCTAAAACAGTATCACATCAGGAATTAAATGAATTGATAAAACTAAAGCACTTGATGTTTTTACCCCTAGGAATATATTAGAAGTCATTAATTTTGTTGACTCTGCAGATCACTGTGAGACATTTTACTATCTTCCAAGTGTCTCCTTAAGGCAGGGGTTTTAATACAACTATGGGATCCTTTCTCCCAACACCCTGCACAATGACAGATCAACCATCATCATCAACATAAACTCAGAACCTAAACAATTTATGTTGGTGTATTTTTATTGATTTCATAAAAGAAAGGAGAGGGAGAGATAGAAACATCAATCGTGAGAGAGAATCATTGATTGGCTTCCTCCTACATGCCCCTTACTTGGCATTGAGCCCACAACCTGGGCATGTGCCATGACCGGGAATAAAACCTGTGACTTCCTGATTCATAGGTCAATGCTCAATCACTGAGCCACACTGGCCAGGCATGTTGGCATATTTTTGCCCACAAACTGGAGATATAGCTTTAAGAATAAACAAATAGAATTAAAAAGAAAAAAACTAAAGCACTTGATATAATGCCAAAAACATAATATTTATATTATAAACTAGAGGCTCAGTGCACGAAAATTCATGCACTCGGAGCCGGGGGGGGGGGGTTCTCAGCCCAGCCTGCACCCTCTCACAGTCTGGGACCCCATGGGGGATGTCTGACTGGCTTAGGCTCACTCCCCACAGAATTGGGCCTAAGC